TTTTGAAGAGCCGATAGTCAAGAAACTTCATTTCGGTCAGATATCGCTTGTGTTATTGACTTCTCAAAAACTGCTGGCGCCAGAGTCCAATATGGTTGGTATTATTTCTGCATGCTGTCTACTGTTGCAGCTAAACACACTCCTTTTTGTGTAGCGTTAGTAAGAACAAAATTTCAAAGAGTTAACAGCAAGGGTATTTTGAGGCAAATATTTTTAACCAAGTAATGGCTGTGTGATAATAGGAAAGTGTTAGGGATATTTCCTCTTAACAGGCCAAGGAAATAACCTAAGAAGTCTTATCGAGTTAATGCTCATCAAGTTCTATTTAGGATCAAATTCTAATTTCTCGCCCATGTCACTCACTATAAACAGGTGTTACTTTTTTTTGTATATATAAATGGTTGATGGACACCTTACACGACAAAACGTCAAAAAAAAGAAGAAGTTATGTTTTACAGAGAGCAATAAACTGTGTTGCGTTCACGGTGTTGGGCGTTTCCACTATTGTTTTGTGCCTTTCGCCGAAAGGAAAAGAATGTTTGGTCACTTTCAGGTGAAAAGCAAAAACAGTTCGACAACGCTAACGGTTAAAACGTGATGATGAACAATACCGACAGACATAACAATGGATCGACAGACCATCATTCAGACAATGAAGACAACTCTACTCCTCAAACTATTATCATCATAAATTGTGTTCTTAACGCTCCACTGATGCTCATATCCATTCTGGGCAACGCTTTGGTATTGGCCGCCATAATAAGAACGCCTTCCATTCGCTCAACGCCGCATATGATTATGCTCTGCAGTCTCGCTGTTTCAGATTTTCTTGTTGGTCTTGTTGCTCAACCGATTTATATTGCTAAAGAACTTACGAAAGACCATTACGCACACTATGTTTCAGTGATGATGGGGCATTCTTTATGTGGAGTTTCTTTCTTGACAATCACAGCCATGACTATGGATCGATTTGTGGCTCTTCACTATCACATGAGATATGCTACTTTAGTGACTGAATCCCGTGTTAAGTACACTTTAATAATTATATGGTTGAGTAACTTCCTTATGTCATGTTTTAACCTTTGGAACACACGGGTACATAGCCTTATTACCGGCCTTATTGCTATAATTTGTCTTATAATTTCCACATTTTTTTACGTCAAAATTTATCACATTGTTCGCCGACATCAGTTACAGATTTTCGCTCAACTACAGGCAGTGCAAAGTTCTGACGCTGAAAATTACTTAAACATAGTAGGATTGAAAAGAAGTGCAATGAACTCTTTTGTCTTCTACATAGCTTTGATTATTTGTTATCTTCCAGCACATGTTTTGTTGACAGTTCAAGGACTCTCACACATGAACGACTGGCCAACAGAATGGGAATTTGCTAATACCGCAGTATTTATGAATTCGTCCATCAATCCACTTTTGTATTGCTGGCGTCTTCGCGAGCTTCGAGCGGCAGTTGTAAAGACAGCAAGGCAGATATTATGTAAAGAAAGAGAACAAAACTAGACATGATACTTTCTGTACGAAAAGAATTATTGACGTTTACAGCGAGACGGGAATTTTCCTTTTTTTCTTTAGATTCTGTTTGACTTGTAGCTCATGTTGTTATGGAGAATTGTAAATAATTAAGATATAAACGGACATCTGAGGTCCCTTTTGATGTTAGATCGATTTAAGTTCGCAATTTAATTTCAACATTTTGCACTCAATTTCAAGTTTCTGCTCTCAATTTCAACTTTCAACACGTAATTTCAACTTTTTGCATTTAATTTCAATTTTATGATCTGCACATGAGTCTCGCTGTTTCAGATTTTCTCGTTGGTCTCATTGCTCAACCAATTTATATCACTGAAAAACTCACGAAAGACCGTTTTGTAGATCGTGTTTCAGTGATGATGGGGTATTCTTTATGTGGAGTTTCTTTCTTAACGATAACAGCCATCACTGTGGATCGATTTGTGGCTCTTCACTATCACATGAGATATGCTTCTTTAGTGACTGAATCCCGTGTTAAATATACTTTAATCATATGGTTGATTAGCTTCCTCTGATCAGGGTTTTAATTTTGGAACATACGTGTACATAGCCTCATTACAGTCATTATTGCTATAATTTGACTTTTAATTTGCACATTTTCTTACATCAGAATTTATCGTGTTGTTCGTCGACATTAGTTACAAATTCACGTTCAACAACAGGCATTGCAAAGCTCCAATGCTAGAAATAACTTCAATATAGCGCGATTGAAAAATAGTGCATTGAACATTAACACTTTCGTTTTCTACATAGCTTTAATTATTTATTATCTTCCATTGTATGCTTTATTGACTCTTCACGGACTCTCCATAAAGGACNTATTGCTATAATTTGACTTTTAATTTGCACATTTTCTTACATCAGAATTTATCGTGTTGTTCGTCGACATCAGTCACAAATTCACGTTCAACAACAGGCATTGCAAAGCTCCAATACTAGAAATAACTTCAACATAGCGCGATTGAAAAATAGTGCATTGAACATTAACACTTTCGTTTTCTACATAGCTTTAATTATTTATTATCTTCCATTGTATGCTTTATTGACTCTTCACGGACTCTCCATAAAGGACTGGAAAACAGAATGGCAAGTTGCTCTTACTGCAATGTTCATGAATTCGTCCATTAATCCACTTCTGTTTTGCTGGCGTCTTCGCGAGCTTCAAACTGCAGTTATGAAGACAGCAGGGCAGATGTTATGTAAACAAACAGAAGAAAACTAGACACAATTCTTTCTGAACGAAAGAAATATAAAACATGTCTACGAGAAAGCAATTTTCGTCTTTCCTCGGGAGTGGGTTTGCTTTGTACGTAGCTCATGTTGTTATGGAAAATTGTAAATAAACAAGATATAAACGGCATTTGTAGGACTTTATGATGTTAGATCCAGGTGTCCTGAATTTTTTCTAGGTGTGCTGGAGGATGAACAGCATTAAAATGTGGCATCGCAAAACAAACTCACTTAGAAGATAACATGTAAGATTTATCTTTGCTTCTTTCTTTTCTGGCTAGACCAAACTTGAGATAACTAGGCTAGAATACACGAGGATACGATAGAATTTGTACAGCACAGCACAGCACAGCGCAGCACACCATGGTATCGCGCAGTGCAGTGCAGCGCGGTTAAACATAGCATAGCACAGCGTAACGCAGCACAGCAAAATGCATCACAGCATAGCGCAGCGCGGCATAGCGCAGCTTAGTGTAGCGCAGTATAACGCAGCACAGGACAGCGCAGTGCAACACAGCAAAGTGCAGTGTAGCACAGAACAGAAAATAATAGACGATGAGCAATTCGTGAATGACTTGTCTTCGATTTCCTAAG